TTTTTTATAAAAAACTTTTGAACTAGTGTGCAATCTGAGCAGATTGAGGATTTTCTGTACAAGATAATGAAATCATATTTCTTGATAACAGCAAATGTTTTTCTCCCCAAGAGTAGCAATTACAGATTGCATTATTTCTCTTTATTTACAGTTTTAAGAGACACAAAAATTCTCTTAAAAATGCACTAATTGGGCTCCTTGCTGAGATGGGCATAAACAGCCCAAAACTGAACCATGAAATCTTCTCACTTTTAAATCTGGTCCCTCTTATGTGGCATTAAATTCACATGAAAAATAAAATAAGTAAAAACAAAACTAAAAAGAAAAAAAATTAATTAAAAAAAACCCCACCAACACCCAAACGTGCCAAGCAAAATAGGAAACCAGTTTTAATGAGTTTTACAAACCTTGTGTCTCAAGGAGCATGGCTACAGTTTGAAAGCACAACCTAATCTCTTGTACTGAGCCAAACCCACTATTATTCCCTATTATCAATACACTAGTAACAATAGTCCCTTATTAGTAGCAATTACACAGAGAAGAAATCTCCCAGCACGTCTGTACTGAGAACTCTCCTTTATGAAGAAGTCAGGAATCTTTTCCAGAGCAGCTAACCCAAAGCAGGGTTTATGAGACCTCTGTGGCAACACAACCCACATTAGTTCAGCTGCCTTAATGAAAAGTCCTTTTTATGTTAATCATAAGTAAATGCATCCCTCTCAACAACAATGGACACATCATTAAAACACTATCAGTTCCACAGGTACAGCTCCAGTCTAGACAATAATCAGAGATGCTCACTGAACTAAACTGTGTCTTTCCATCATCAATTGCTCTTACTCCATTCAGCCCTGTCACCTATCACTGAGAGTGTCACTAATGACTAAAAGTACTTAAGCATCAACACAGGATGTTTCATCTTCAAAGCACTTTAACTTCAAAGTACTTTACAAATAAGCTAATCCTCATGTTATCCTGATAGGTGGAGGAACAAAGTCCCCAATTTTGCATCCATTCTCCAACTGCAATGAAATTAAGCAACTAGCCCACAACTGCAACATCAGGCATAAGCAGAAACACAAAAAGAATGGGGAAGGCTGTAAGGAGAGTTTTGCCCTCAGACACTGAAGGCTTACTGACCTCTCTTTGGGCCTCACACCTGTATTTTTGAGAGGGTGGAGTCCTAATTGCAGCAGCTTTTTCTTGCTCCATATGGTATTACACTCTCCAGCCTGCCCAGCCCTAGACTGAGACTTCTCACAGTTATGAGATTTCCAAAGGCTCTTATGAAGTGAAGAGGGATTTTCAGGAAGGAACAGAGCACTTGTATTCTTAATTAGAAAACATCAATTCAGTATCAGAGAGGCAAGAGGCATTTAATATACAGCTAGCATGCTAACCTCTGGGTCTCAGGTGGTAAATGCTAATACGAAACTTTCCAGATGAATCACTCACAATCCCAGATGGGTCAGAGGAGTCTGCTGTTCCCTCTCCCACAAAAATGCAAAGAATTCACATATTGGAGGTGCTATGAAAAACAGTAGGAGCTTTCAGAAAAACATCAGATGGATTTGTGCTTTCTTAAAGCTCAGCACAATGTAAAAAATCTAATGGACTCAGAGGTATACTCTACCCTCACTATATATGCTACTTAGTTTAGGGTTAAGAGGACAGGCTTCACTTTTTTTTAACCAGATTTTTAAGTGAAACAGTTATTATTGCAGGGATTTCCAGAGTTCAGAAGGATCTATACAAAATTAAAACTGCCTTTCTTTGGAAGATGAATATCTTCTTCATTTCACAGGAAGTTTAGCTTTACTAAACATAGAACAGAATGAAACTTGTATATAGATATAGAAAAGGCACAGCAGCACCAGTGTGCTTCAATGCCAACATCAAGGAATTGCACTTTGAGGAAAAAAGTGCAGTCTCCATAACCCCGGTACGTCACTCACCATTTCACTTTCCATGGCCTCAGCTAACCACAGCAGGCTTTGGGGTAGGGATGCTAGGAGGGACTTCCATGAGCCTATTTCACATAAGTCACTGATAAGTTTTCATAATACAATGATTGTCACTACCAGGGTGACTTCTGAACATGGAGAACAGCAGCGAGTATCATTTGTATTTCCAGAAGTCATTTGGTGCCTAAACTACCTTAGGAACATGACCTTCAACCTCTCAATAACATGAATCTCTGAATGTGAATCTAAAACTACCCAGAGGAAAGAAGATCACAAGGAATTGCTAATGGACTGTTTCCAGGAGCAGCAAGAAATCCCTACCTGAAGTCTGCGGGGAAGCTTCTACTTCCAAGTTGGCTGAGAAGCGCTCACTTTGAGCTCCAAGGACTCCAACAGGCAAAGACTGGTCACCAGAAGCCAGATCTCCTTCCAACTCCTCACTTATGGGGAAAGTAATATCACTCACAGGTTCCTCCTTAATCTTCACAGGCTTTGTGTCCTCTGCTGCCTTTTCAGGGTTGACAATCTTCTCGTACTCTTCAGAGAGCTGCTTGCTAACCTGTCCAAGATCAGTGGGTGAAGAAGAGGCCAGAAAGGTGAGAATGACTTCAGAGACTCTGATGGCAATTACATTGCAGTGCACTCTGTTCCCAGAATGTTATTAACATCTGACCCAAACGAAAAAGTAAACAGCTTACTAGCTACACAGGAAAGATTTTTTTTTTCCTCTTTAAGTGCACCTTCTGTCCTGTAACAAGGGGCTTTAATAAGAGGTTTAATCCATTAACATCTGATTGACAAAGATTTCTCAGACAGAGATGATGAGGCCCAGAAATTTAAAAAGAGCAAGGAACAAAAGCAAAGTGTCTGTCTTATTCTTTGGTTTTACCTGTAAGATTGTCCCCCATCCTCCAGTAACAAATTTACCCCAGCATTAAAAACCAAGCACTTCAGATCTTCGTCAGCTCTGCAGTCACCACTGGACAAAGCCTGAGTACCTTCTGACAAATTCACAGCAAAAAGCACAGAAGTTTTCTCCAGTTAAAGAAGTGGAACAAATACAGGAATGAGATTTAGAATTACCCTGTACTTCCAGAAAGTTAACAAGAGTAAGCAATTAATTTTAAAAATTTCAGATTTTATCTGCTTCTAACAAATGCTTGTTTATACAACTAAATCCCAACAGTCAATGAACTTTTTAACAACAGAAGCAAGCAGGAAAAAGAATAGCAAAGCCTATTTCCCCCTTCTAGATATGCTTCCAAATACAGAGGCTACTGTGGACCTCAGCCCTGTATAAAGAACAAAACCACTAAGACAACGACTGGCTGCAGGATGAGAGAAAACTGCATCAGCAGAATGATAGAGAAAGCCCAAATTCAAAAAGACAGAATATCTGAATAAAAACATTTGAACACAAATGAACACAACTGGTTTTCTGAACAAGAATGTTTTAATGAAGACAGATCTTGATGATGTTATTTTTAAGCACAAACCTCAGAATCCATCACAACTTACATACTACATGTGTCTCTGATTTACACTGCCTCTGTAAGCCACAAGGTGTCAGTCCTGGGAAAAGCAGGAGCACAAGGTAGCTGCTCCAAAATGAGTCAACTGGTGCTCATAAGGAAGAAGGAATGGCAGGTTTTGTTTTTGGTCACAGGCTACCTACTTGATTCAAGCCTTGTTTTTGATAAGTAGGAGCATGATTTCCACTTCAAATCCTTGCATTTCTCTAAGTCCACAACAGGCAGCCTCATATCATTCAGACAAAATGCATGTTTAATTTCTTAGAATACTGGGACCGAGAGAGAAACCATACCCTTATTCTTACAACCTACATCTATTGATGCCTCTTATTTAACAATTCATCTTCTTTCTCAACAGAAGCACAGTCTCCTCTACAGCACCTGTGTGACAAGTCAGATCAGCACAATACTACCCTATACTCCTACCAAAGCTTAAGGAAGTCACCCCTTGCTTAAGCAAACACAAACTTCTGCACAACTTAGTAATTTTTGTCTCCTTACTTGTTTTCCAGCCAAATATTCCATTAAAGTAGAAAATTCAGTTTATCAGTCAGTTTTGATTTTACCTCTACTTGATATTTTTGTCTGGGCCATTCAAGAGCTGGGGGACTCTCCTTTAACTCAGGCAAGCCATCAGTAGAGCATCCTTAGCCTCAGTAGGGACACAAATAAGGGGTTCTGTCTTCCAGTCAAAAAAATCATGTTTCTCTTTCCCTTGATGACTCCCCTCCACATCCAGGAGGTTTTCTAATTGGATTTCACCTCAGTAAGACTCAGGACTTGCCACAGGAAGAAGCAATTGTACTGGGGGTACATTTCTTGGTGCTGTCGGGTCCCTAATGCTCTTCTCACCTGAAGCATGTAGCTGTGATAATCCTTAATGCGGTGCTGCCAGAACTTCTGCAGAGAGAGCACGCTGCCAATGCCCACTTCATGGAAGACCTGCTCCATGACATCAGGGAAAGGGGTGTGCCCAAGTCGAGCTTCTCGATCCACAGCGAAGCGCAGCAGTTTGGTGAACTTCAAGCAGTACTCGTGGGCAATGTCTGTCAGGGTCTCCAGAACACTCTCATTGGCACACTCAAAGCCTGTGTGAGCCAGGATGGTGGCCATTGACTGGTAGAGAAGTTGCCGGCAGGAGGACCAACTCAGCTCAGTCACTGGCTCCCCTTTTCCTCTAAAAACCAGAAAAGACAAAAATAGCACACTTTCAAAAATTGAAAGGAGTAGATAAGTTGAAAAGATATTGTCAATAATAAGTGATGGACAAAGCAAAAGCAGAGAGTTTGGGGTTCTCCACAACTTCTCCACTGCATATGAACACTACCTAGTAAAGGCTTATCTGCTTTTCCTTCTTCCCCTCCCTCCAAATCAGCACTTCCAATTTTCATTTCCCCTTTTAATGCTGCGAGAGTCCTTGGGTGATTCACGAATGTGGGATGCAAATCTTCTGAAACCTTAAGCAACTCTCTTCTCACCCAAGAGCTTTTCTCCTGGAGAAATTAATTAAATGGGTCCTGGACACAAACAAAAAGGGCATTGTAAATAACTTGAATGCAAATCATTTCCCCTCTCAGTTAATTACATTTCTTTTCCTTATTACCTCTAATGTCACAGACCTAATACTGAGATACAAAGGCTTCTGGAATAGACAAGATTGGAATTTCTAATGTAAAAGACATATATAAAAAAGCAAGAAATGGGATACACATACATTTCATAAAGATACACTGTAGCCAAAGATACTGTTTCCCTGTCCTCATTCCCAGCAGTCACTAAGAACAACACTGAAAGAAGTATCCCTGTATATAACCTAAGATGCAAACACAGGACCCTGGGAGGAGGCCTGGAGAGGTTCTGCCATAAAGCAGCATTCTCTGGCCTTGCGTTTGAGACCTCTGTTCTCTTCTCTGTGTTGCTAAGTGGGAAGGAGTGACCACGCAGGGTGGAGGACATGGAGAACAACTGACATGAGTACTTCAAACAACATTTACAGTCAGTCACCCAAATTTTTCATCAACATGAGTTAACAAACAGAGGTTTTACAGAGGAAAAAGAGGAGTTAAGACAAGGCCTCTGATTGGGAAAGATGCATCTACCAGATTTCTCAAGTCACAATTGAGTGCATGTAATCTATTTGCCCATATCAGTAACATGGACTTCAAATGCTGATGTCAAAAAATCAATTTCCTTTCTGCCAAGTATGGTATTTATATACTTTTTTTACACTTCATTCACCACCAAAGGCATAATTAAGCTGAGAATTTCACTCTCCTTTGTTTCTGATCTATTTGTCCACCTTGAGATTCCCCTCATTCTCACCCTACATCACTTGCATATCACCAGACACTCTTTCCAGTAACAGGACCTGATTAAATCAGTACACAGATGGTACTGATGCCTTGATAAAAGTCTCTCCAACAACTACACTAGGTACCCATCAGTCTCACTGAGAAGCTGGGCCACAGTCTCAGGTTCCCCTGACCCTTAGAACTGACCCATAGAAAACCACTGAAACACAGCAGTAAAAAAGATAACATTTCAGAGGAGTGAAAATGGAAGGTGACACTTAGAGCTATCAGGAACAAAATCATTCATTTTCAAGAACACCAGCTCAGCACTTTCTGATTATTCAAATAAAATAAAAGCTGTATATGATCATATTTCTGAGCAGATATTAAGAACAACATGTGGATCTCAGGTCATGGATTCATCCCAGCTATTAATTGATGGAAAATGACTCACATCCCAATTCCTTCTCAATTATGTAACTACTTTGCTAAGAAGACAGCAGGCACGCTGACAAGATAAATTAAAAGATCATCAGTTCCTTTATAAATCAACTGTCACATCTCCCTCACTCCCCCTTCCACCTCAGCGACAGATTTCTGAAGTTCAGAAGCAGCCATATGTCTCACACAACACCGGGACCGGGAGGTTACAGCAGAAATAAACAAGTACCAAGGAAAACAACCCTCAAAATTTATGCCTATAAAACAGAATCTCTTCTTCTTTAGTGCATATAAAGGACATATCCAGCTGTATGGCAGCCATCAGTTGAGAGCATCTTATGCTACCAAACCCACTGAACAACCAGGCTACTGTTAATACAGAGACGCTGTGGGCAAAAAAATCAGACGCAGATTTCGGCAAGTGTAGGCAGGATGCTTAGCCACTTGCAAAATAGAATACAACAACCATTTGGCGATGCATATCACTGCTCAGAAGCAGCAGAGAATATTATATCTCTTTTAAACTCCTGGAGGAAAAGAAACCAATTGTGAGCATTAAAATGCAGTGAGGTCACTATGCTGAAGGGCATATAATCAACCTGAAATCCAATCAATTAAAGACGGAGAGAAAAGAAATTTCAGGTACTGTATTCAAATCCAAATCGCCACCTCTTGCTCTTGGAAAGGTCAATCAATTTTGGTTTTCTTATTTTTTCTTCTCTTGTTTTCCTGTTTCCCACAATAAACAATAGAAGTATATGATTAAAGGCCAGAACAAAGAGCAATAATTGAAATGTAGATGTTAACGGAAACCAACAAATGAGAAAATAATTTTGAATCTTCATCTCTAACTTCCAGATACTTTCTGGTAAGAATGCACATGAACAAAAAGAGCCATATGGACACATTTATGTTGAGAACAGCTATCTAATGTCAAGTCTTCCCAAAAAGGACAAGCAAACGTCTTCTTTTCCCTGATGATCATACCTAAAGAGCCTTGGTTTTAGATCTCACCCATAAAGTCAGCACCTATAAAAGCACCCTGCCAGGTACTATGACTATGCAGAATGCCACCCTCAGCAGCACTTAGTTCTTTTCCTGAAGGCTCTCCATTCAGCAACCATCCAAAGCCAAACCTAATTAACAAAATAGCAGGGTCCTATAGCTACAAGTAAACAAAAGTGCTCTCATATCTCAAGCTTCATCACCATGGATTAACAGGACAGGAAATTAGGTCGGTGACTTGGAGGTGATCTCTACAGAATATATAGTATGAAATTTATCACAAATACTGGCCAATTTCCCACTCTTCATTTTTGCATTTCTAAGAGTTCTATATTTTTATATATGGATCACCAACACTAGATAACGTTCCAGACAAAAGTCTCCCTGCCAAGCTATGAATTCATTAGACCCAAAGCCCAACCTTCTCCCACTTCTACCAGCAACGTGCAGAAAATCACAACAGAAGACAGGAAAATAGTGTCCATTTATACCAACCAGACTTATTTTCAGAATTAGTAAGTTTCCAAAACTCAGAAAAGGCCCATTTTCTATGTCAGTCAGTTAAATGACAACAAGCCACCCCACAAAGGCAGCAGAATCCATTCACCCAGGTTCATCTCCTGTTAGGCTGTTTTTCTCAGAGAGAAGGGGAGCTCATGGTTCATTTCCCATGCAACTATCTTCAGGGGACAGTGTTTGGGCTAAGGCAAGGATTGCTAGCCAAGGTTCACTCAACTGCAGTACACGACTGAAGTGCTCTGCTCCCTTCTAGGTGAGCATACGCCAGCAGCAGATGGAGGGAGGGACTGTTTTTCCTATGAACACGACAATTTCATGAAACATTACACTGTGGAGTTAGATTTATACCAAATGAGGTACAACAAGGCTGCTTCAGAGCCATCCTCTCCAAAGCAGTAAAATGAAGGAGAACATTGGAAAAACAAGATTATACTAGTCAGAGAGTGCATCAAAGAATACAGCACACTAACTCAAATGAGCAAGTTGTTTCCTTTCGGAAAAGAGCCTCATTACATCTCATCCTGACTAAATCTCTTTTTAAATACCTATGCTACGTCTACAGGAAGCTGCAAAGGTGTGAAAAGAAACTGCTCAACAGATAATAGCAAAAATAAATTGTATCCCAGTGGCATAACCAGAACACCAGTTGGTTTAGAATCAGACTAAGTCAAAGTGCTTAGTTCATCAGTGGAAGTGTGTTCTCTCTGCTTTAATTTCCACTGCTTCAAATCCTTCCCAGCATTAAACCTGCTATCTCACCAACACATGGTCCTCTACTTCTGTACAGATATTTCTGAACTACAAGTTCTTCTGTCATGAACTGTCTTCACACTGCAAGTTGCCTATTTTGTTTACAGATTATCTTTCAATGCAAAGCACACATCCAATGTGGTCAGGAATGCAAATGACAGATTGACTGAGAAATCTGTTACAAAACCAACCACGTACACACAAGAAAAAGCATCTGAAAAGGCACATGAGTAGGTTAGGTTTCTTTTAAAGATGTATCCATGCTAATCTGAGGAAGCTGAACAGAGAAGAAGGAAAAGCTAGCAGCTGTATTATGGTAGGAGTCTCCTGTTGAAATGATAGTTTCAAGTCTACAGTTCCTTACTCATTCTTCATCAGTTATGCTTTAAGCTTACTTTCTGTTTCTACACCAATCAAAACCAAACATTAATCCCTTACTGTGCATCCCAAGAACTGTAACATCAACACTTGCAAATCACCAGGACCAGATAGTAGTTCATCCAGGAATACTAAAGGAATTCCAAGGATGAAATAGCTGAATAGCTGTGGTGAGTCACCTCTTGCTTCAAACTGCGTTGGTCCATGAGGACTAGAAGACAGGAAATGTGAAAACATTTTTTTTTAATAGCCTCAGAAGAGATGTGAAGAACTGCAGGCTGGGAAGCCCCATATTTTTGGTGCATCAAGAAAATTCAAAGAATCAGAGGACACACAGGTAAATATGTTATGCTCAGAAAGAATTCAGAGAGCTTTTGTAACTGGAAAACCCACTTCACAAACCCAGACTCCTCCAAATCAATCAACAAGCAACTATGTCCACTCCACTGTGGAGTCCAGGTCTTCCCTTAGGGATCTGTGTCAGAATCAAAGTTTGTTTCAACATATTTATAAACAGTCTAGAAAACTGTAGGTGAGAAATAGCATCATGATTATAAAAATGCTGGTAGTACAGATTTTGGAGGGTTGAAAAGACCAAACCAACTGAAAAATAGCAGTAAATTAGGTACTGCCTCTTCCTCATGATAGGAGGAGGTAGGGGTTACAGGTGTGGGGTGGGGCAGAGGAAAACCAAAATTAATCCTGGGCATAACAAAATCAAAGACAAGGGGGCAGCATGTCAAAGGATGAAAATGAATAACAAGGAAATAGAAGAGGACATATCTATGCTAAAGAAACTTGTGGTCTGATTCAGGCTGGCTACTCTTATCTTCCTTTCTTCCTGTGTCTAAAGGTACCTATACATTGCTTCTCAGACCCAGGTTACTGCCAAAAAAAATGAAATTAAAATATGGATTTAGTTGAATACCATAATTCTTACAATTGTACTTCAGAAGGTAGCATAAAATTAAGTGCTACCATATTTTATTGGGGGAAGAATGTTCTTCCTTTAATTTGATTTTACACACTAAGAAGCATCAGCAAATCACAGAACTTCATTTTTGCTTCTAGAACAGCACCTGCTGTTCTTAATCTATGTATCTTAAAACAGCTAAGAACAAACATGCAACAACAAACTCAAACCTTTCCTTCTGGAAAAGCATAAATGTGTTTGGTTTAGCAAGCACACAATTAAAATCTAGAATACACTGTAGCTCATTATAAATCCACTCTCTGTCAGCCACAAAACATTTCTCTCTCCAGTTTTCACAACGTAGTCCTTAAACTCCCCCACGTGGCTGACGACTAAATAACATTTCTTTAACCAGACTCCAGAGACCCGAAAGGAAAAACAAAAAGACAAAGCAGCCTACAAAACATGGCCAGAGCCACAGAAAACTGAACTTCAAGCTGAAGCCACCAGGGAGGACAGAACAGAGAACTGCTCAGTTTTACAAACCACAGAGCAGGAGTCACAGGGCCTTGACTTTATTCCCACAGGACAGTATTTCCTTTCATCCCTCTCAGCTAGTTACTTTGTATCTTTCCAGAAGGATGATGGTGTTCCTCCACAAACAGTATTAAGAAATCACTCTACTGCCCAGAGGAACTATGTTACCAAATGCAACATCTTTCAATAAAATGCATTTTATACAACCTCAGGCCGTTGAATATCTCAGTGGCATTTAACTGATCAGTTATATTTTGTTGATGCACATTTATCCATTTCAAAAACTAAAATGTATTATACTCTCCCACATCATGTTCATTAGTGCACAGTCTTTCATTTAAGAACAGGAAGTTGTAGCTGTGAGAATTAATCCTGTAATTTAAATGCACATAACCCACAAAGTATTGTGAGATCCTGCAAGAAATGTAACACCTCCTCGTGAATTTAGTGCTTGTCAGATGAGTAGATAGGGAGGTGGTGGCAACACTATTTAATCAAAGACTAGCTGCAGAGGAAGAAGCAACACAACTTTCCTTTACATTTTCTCCAGCCCTTGGCTGGCACAGCCAGTACCAGAGGCAAGAATTCCTTTCACCCATTCTCATTTCCACCTCTGACCAGAAGACCAACAACAAGTAGAGTGAAATGTGATAGTTACTATGTCATAGGTCCTTAGCCACTGAAATCTTACAAATATGCTACCATGTCATCTTTGCAGACCCTACAGCTAAACAGCCAAAACCTCCTCACGCATCTTCCGGGTTTTCAATTATAAAAACATAACTTAGTTGTAAGTGACCAAAGTAGAAGAGACTTCATATCCTGTAACTAAACTTGTCAAAACACCACTAAGATAGCAAAACCATTTGCACACATTTAATGTAGCACTAACAGGACAGAAATCACCACTACACATCCAATTTTATTGATAGGAAAACAAAAGCACATTTATTTTAAACAACGCGTGTGTTACTCACACAGGAAAAAGCTAAATATTTCCTTTCTGAAGCCCGTTTTATAATTTACATACAACTGTTTGACCCTTCAGCCTAGAGGAAGTAACATAACTACATATATATTTAAAAACACTCAGCTTTCCTTCGGACAAAAACTAACCCAAAGAAACACCAACGCACCTGTAGAAATCACTCTCTGGGTCACTGTGCCTCAGCTGAAATGGCATTTTGGGCGTTTTGCTATCCAGAGGAAGCAGGTCATCCGGGAGAGGTGGAGAGGCTGGACAAGATGGCAGAGGTTCGTTCTCCTCAGTTTTTATGCCCTCTGCCTGCTGCTGGTTCTGAGCCTGAGCTGTGGCGATGAGGCTGCGCAGCCGCCGGTTGTGTTGGATGAGCTGGATGGTGTGGATAGTGAGGCTGCAGGGCTCAGAGGGGATGTCCAGCATGGTGGTGGGCCGGGGCTTATTCGCAGATGGTTGGTGCAGTGGAGGATCCTGGACTTCCACGGTACGGAACTCGCGCTGCAGCAGGTCAAAGGAGCTGCGGTTGGCCTGGTTGGAGGAAACCGGGATCTCACCCCAGTATCGCAGCATTTCTGCACAAGTCACACGTTGTCCTCAGAGCCCAGGAGAAGGCTACCTGATACTGTGGTACAAAGGTGCCTTGTCGCAGGGAAAAGCACTTTGGGCAGCAACAAGAACTGGAGCTGGGATGACACTCCTAAACAGATTACGGCTGTCAGGCAGGCTGTCGCTCAGTGCCTCGCTGAGCAGCGCGGTGTCCTCAGCAGCATCAGGTCGCCACTCCGGCATTTAACAGATCCCTTCTCCTGAGGGGGGAACAAACAAACGCACTCGTGAGGTGAGAATTATTTCTGTCTTTAACAGAGGCTGGTGTGGGTCCACCTGGGCCTCGCCGAGCGGGGCCCGTGGCGAGTCTTGGTTTGCGTGGAGAAACTCCGGGGGCCGCACGCGGCTCGCCCGTCCGCCCGCCCTCCCCGGGCCCAGCTCCGAGCCCGTGGCTCCCCAGCAACCCCAGCCCGTGTCTCGCCTGCCCCCCGCGCTCCCTCCGCACCCCTCAGCTCCGCTCGGCTCCCGGCCGCCCTGCCGGAACTGCGTCCCGGTCCGGCACCGGGAGCGGCTCCCCCGTCCCCCGCGCTTCTCCGCGCCGGGCGGAAGGCAGCGCCCGCCGCCGTCCCCGCCTCGCCCGCTGCCGCCCCTTCCCCTGGTTCGCCCCCCACGCTGTCCCGGCCCGCGCTGAGGCCGCGGCGCGACCCCCAGAGCTGCGCCTACCCCCGGCACTGCAGCGCCGCGGAGCTCGTCCCCGGAGGACTCCATTCGGGTGCGGACCCGGGAACATGGCGGAGGCCGCGGCGACGGAGGCGGCGGCGGAGCCCGCGGAGCCCACCGAGCCCGCCGCCTTCAAGCGCCCGAGCCGCCCGCTGCCCGCCGCGCCCGGGCCCGCCGACCCGGGGCCCAGCCCGCCGGGGCCTCCCCGCCCCGCCGCCGCGCCGCCCGCGCCGCGCTACGAGGAGCCGGCGTGGGGCAGCCGTCCGCCGGCCGGCTCCGGGTACGGGCTAGAGGTGCTGAAGGGCGGCGTGGCGCTGGGCTCGGTGAGGTTGGAGGACGGCAGCTGGTTCCTGGTGGGGCGGCTGCCCGGCTGCGCGCTCTCCCTGGAGCACCCCTCGGTGTCGCGGCACCACGCCGTGCTGCAGTACCGCGGCGCCGGCGCCGACCCCGACGCCGCCGGGTTCTACGTGTACGACCTGGGCAGCACCCACGGCACCTTCCTCAACAAGGCGCGGGTACCGCCCCGCACCTACTGCCGGGTGCGGGTGGGCCACGGGCTGCGCTTCGGCGGCAGCTCCCGCCTCTTCCTCCTACAGGTGCGTCGGGGCTCCGGCTGGGGCGGTCCCGGAGCGGTGTGTCGGGGGTGGTGAAGCCTCGGCTGGATCGGTCTCGGGAATTTACGCGGTTCCTCGGGCCTATCGGGGTAAAAGCCGCTCCTGAGGTGTGAGGAGGTTTGGGAACAGCCCAGTGCTGCCCTAGTGGTTTTACTGGGAGAAGAGTAGCCAGCTGTGGGTATCTTCTGCCGCCTTGGGGCACCGGGCACGGGGCAGCGCCCCGAGGGCTCGCCGTGAGACCAGGCTGGGCGGCTTCCGCTGATGTGCAGTGAGCGCAAAAGGCACTTCTCTCCAACAACGAGATGTATTAGGAGTGTCTTTTCGACAGTATGATGCCCCAGTAAAGAGCTAACACGTCTTTGTGAACAAGGGGAGCTTTTATTAGTAGGAACTTTGACAGCATTTCACGTGCTCTACATGCACTTCAGAAGCTGTTCATTCGTTAAATTCAGCCATGTAGCACTGACAGGAATTTTTCCCTTCAGCCTTTAAAAGAGTCATATTTGACATCTAACAACATTTGGTTGGCATTGACAACATAATTTGATATCCGACAAGTACACAATAATGCTTGTTTCCCCCTTCCCCCTTTGAAAACATAATCAAAACTAATATATTTTGGAACGTACGTCATAACATGGTCTAATAATTCCACTTTCTGAAGAATACTGTAATAATTTGTTTCTGTTATAGTGTGTAATCTGCATGTGTGTTGAAAATACTTGAGTTTTTTTCTTTTAAAAAACACTTCTGCTAAGTTACTATTTGTGATATAGGGACCCAAAGAGGACCAGGAGTCTGAGTCAGAACTAACTGTGACTGAATTGAAGGCATTGCGTAAGCAGCAGCAAGCAAAACTAGAAAAGACAATGTTGGGAGAGGACTCTGATGAGGAAGATGAAAAAGAGGAGAAAAGTGAAAGGAGTCAGAACAGTGATATGAGCTGCTCGTGGGGAATGGGTAAGCGATGATGTATAAATTGACTGATATGCATTAGAAGGTCTTTAAGGCAGTTTTCCGTGAATTTCCAGCTGGCTGCCAGGAGTTACAATCCAGTCAAAGCTCTTGAGTACAAATTAATCCTTTTCCTTTTAAAAAGAAGGGTATGTGACAAGACAAGCTTATATCTAGTGAGAAGTATGCAAGACCTCCTTTTAAACAGGAGAAGGTAATTCACCTATGCCTGTAAAAGGCCATGAAACTGAAAGTTTACTTAATGCTCCTGTGATGATGTCCACACTTTTGCCTGAGAGGTGAAATTTAGTTGCTTGAGACTTCTATGTGGTATAGCTGTCTTTACCTTTAAACAGAAAGTCCACATCTTAAAGCTAGATAGATTGCTAGATTAATCAGCTTTTTGGAACAAAGTGAGTTGGGTTTTTTTGAATGGAAATGTATAAGCACATAAACCTTTGCAAGTACCAAAACTGCAGGGACACTCATCTGCAAAACTATATCTCATGTTGTAATAACTAATAGCGTAAAAAAGAGGTGGGAGGGTTTTTTTTAGATTGGGTGCAGAAATAATATTAAAGTTAAGGGAAGTATTTTTAGGATGATGTAGCTGCTACTTTTTTCAAACTAATGAAAGTTGAAATATACTAGTGCTCTCTTTCTAATGTTTCCTTTTTTTTTTTTTTTTGCACTTTGTATGTCTTCTAGGTGAGGATGCTGAGGAGGATGAGGTTGAAGAAAACCCTATTGCTGTTGATTTTCAGGATGTTCAAGATGCTTTCTATATGAAAGATCCTAGGAAGGCCTTACAGGGCTTTTTTGATAGAGAAGGTACCTTTTTTTTATTTTATTAAATGGGATTTTTTTCAATTTAATAAAATTTTACATTTGTGCTTATTTTGAGGGAGTGGGATTTAAGGCGTGGTCTGGGAGCTCAACTTTTCTGCTAACGGGGTAATTTTGGGTGATGGGGGTTTTTTTGGTCAAGTTTTGGTGGGGGTTTGTAGTGATTTGGTTTGGAGTTTTTTAATTAAGACTTGGCTCACCATTGTATATCTGAGACTTAGGTATTAATTCCTAAGCGGGGAGTTGCACTGAGCACCTTGTATTCCTCTGGAGTGACCCTCAAACCCTACCCATGCTTTGAAGCTGTGCCGAAAAATTGAAACCCATCAAACTTGAAATTGTTCAATTTGGAGATAGCTAAAATTGTGAGATAGAGTTGGAAAGTATAAAAAAGACAACAGGCAATAATTAAGTAGTCTAAAGTTTCCATGGTTGCTAGTGAAATGTAAAGATTACTCACTTTTTTTGCTAAAATGAAAAATCAATCTGATATCTGTGAATTCAGGTTGTAAACTGTCATTACTTTAGTGTACTTACTTTAATACATACAGAGACAAGATTGTTTTTAATTTGAACTACATGTTCCTAAACAGACCACTAGAGATTTTTTAAATATGAAAAAGCCTTGATTTTGGGCAGAAAAAAAAAATTAACATAATGCCAACTGAAGATCCCATGGCTTTTTAAAAAAAAAAGTAAGGCAAAATCAGTCCTTTGATATGTAACAAGGGCATTTTATCCCTTTTGTTTAAACATGACATTCTTCTCTGCTGTAGTTTATTCTTGCTTATTTCAATTTTGGTTGCTATATCAACTTTCTTTTCCTTTCTAGGAGAAGAGTTAGAATATGAGTATGATGATCGTGGGCACAATAGCTGGCTGTGCAGGATCAAGTATGTATGTCTTCATTCACTTTTGTATATGGAAATTGTTGAATTCATGAACAAAAGCTGAAGGAATTACTTCTCATGTCACTCTCATGTCACATGCAATCTAGAATTAGACCTAACCCCTGATACTGAGGCAGAAGTTCAAGGATCAGTGCCTAGTTCAGTATTTCTTTTCCTTTCTATTCTGACAGCATTTAGTTTTCCTTAGAGATGAAAACTGGGAAAGCAAGAGTCTAGGTTCTTTCAGCTCCCCTTGTTTTGAGAAATATGTGAAATGGAAATACAAGAGAAACAATCTCTTTCAATTCCTAATGGGACAGAGGGAAAAAAAAAAACAACGTTAATTCTACTGTGTGCCCAATTTCAGTTCTTTTATGGTATAAGACAGTTCTTGATGGGTTCCTTCTAGAGGCCACTAATGTCATTCTTTTATAAGACAGGAGAAGGTGTGGTGGAAATTAAGTCAACAAGATAAGTCTTGAGTGGATAGGTGCAACATTGCAATGAGTGTACTGCTTAAAAATCCTTTGCTTCAGCATGGAAAATGTTTGTTACTGGTGTTGCTTGGATGCAAGATATTGGTGTTTAAAATGATCCAGGGATTGACACTTAGCCTTTTAACTTCTTGTATTTCCAATGGAATAAATATAGGAAGAATTATTGTTTGCACTAGTGAAATACAAATTTAATTGCATGCTTTAAGAAATCCATGCTTATGTTTTGATTGGTTCTGTATGAAAAGAAAAGTGAAAATATTTAATCGACAGAAAAAGATTAGAATGAAATGGGAAGAACAATGCCAGCATGATAAGTAAAATATCTGAGTAACATCCCTGAAAAGCTGTTTGTGTCTGAGCTGTGCTCTGATCCTTCAAACTGAATAGGTTGCCTGTGGATGATGCAACAGGGAAGCAGCTGGTGGCAGAGGTTCTCCACTCAGGAAAAAAGAAGGAGGCAATGATACAGTGCGCACTGGAAGCTTGCAGGCTACTTGATGCTCGGGGAGTACTGAGACAGGAAGCAGGTAAATAACTAGTCAAAGGCTGTGATCATTCTAAAAGCCCTAAATTGGTGTCTTGAATTTGGTTTATTGCTGACTAGTAGGCATATAATTTTGTTTCTTGCCTTCTCCCTTACCTTTCCCAGTATCCCGAAAAAGGAAATCAAAGAACTGGGAAGATGAGGATTTTTATGACAGTGATGATGACACCTTCCTCGATCGAACTGGTGCTGTGGAAAAGAAACGACTGAACAGAATGAGAAAAGCTGGTAAAATAGAAGAAAAACCAGAGACTTATGACTCCTTGGTAAGAAGAGTTGTTATGATGTGTCAGGGTTACTCTTCCATGCCTGTATTATGACTAAGAAGGAACCTTAGTGGATCATGGCAGTGGGTGAATGAAATGCCAGAACAGGATACTTTTGAAATGGTTCTAAATCATCAGAAAATAATTGCAAGCTTTCAAGTTTTGTAGGACACATCCCAGAGAAGAATCTTATTCTGCTTCGAAGAACAAGCATCTTGGATTGACAGGCATATAACAACTAAAAATCCTACACAGACAATAGGGTGTGAGGGGTAGGGTGGGTTGGAGTGTCACAGTGGTGGTATAACACTGCTGCAGAATTATACATACTTTCGTGTTTCAGAAAGAAAATTGTTTAAACAATATGTCAAAGGAAGGATAAATTTTAAGAGCAATCTATAGTTTTTTCAACCCAGGAAGTTCTGGTAAAAGATCAGAAGCAGAAAAATCAAAGTAATTTGGTAGGATATTTGAG